CTACAACTGTGGAAAGGAGTTTTCGAACAGGGACAGGCACTAGTGAAGGGAAGCCGATGCTTGGACCATCGTGGAGAGTCCTGCTAAAGTACTGCAGATACCCTTGAGAAAGTGTGTGTGCAGTGTGACTCAGCGCGGGGCAGGAGTTCACACAGTGGGTCTGGGTGGCAGGAGGGAGGAGAAGTGTGCCCTGTGAGACCACGTTCCCGTGATTCTTGGACATCACTTCTCTGTAGAGGGCCCTCTACACAGGGTCCAGGCATCCCCACTCTTGGGTAAGGTACAGCCACATCCTCCAATGTCACAAACTCCCCCAGTGTCCTTCCTTCCCATCAGTGTCCTGCATGAACCAAGGTTCTGGGGAAGACACTCAGACAGTCTCTGTAAAGACAGAGACTGGACCTGCATGATCCTGAGACCCACAGCTCTGCTCTCCCTGTTCTGGCTGCGGAGCCCACAATCCATGGGCTTTGGGTGAACCAGGGCTGAAGACAGACAGGCTCCGGAGTCCAGAGCTCTGCGCTTTCCAGAAGACAAAAGGCTTCAGCTAAGGCTGGGTGCCTCTCCATGGGGAGATGAAACAGAATCCCTCCCATAGTGACTCTTGAACCATAAACTCCTCTTCAGCAGGAGACCTTGTATTCAAAAGGGGCTGGGTTGTCATTTGCCAACTTGTAATGTGGGCGCTGTTTGATCCACTTATGTTGAGAATGTCTCTTGTCATTTGAAACCGGGTGTCTAATTGTAGGATTTTCATATCTCTTGATACACTTAGGATTTCTTTCTTTCGTTATTTATTTATTTATTTATTTATTTTGTCATTTTGAGATAAGGTTTCACTATGCAGTTCAGGTTGGCCTTGACCTCACCTTGTATCCCAAGCTGGCCTCCAACTCACAGTGATCTTCCTGCCTCGGCCTCTCCAGTGCTGGGATTACAGACATGCACCACCATGCTCAGTTTACAGTTAGTATTTGATCTTTTCAAATTTTCTGTTTTCTTCCATAATTGTCCAGTGACTGTGGTAATCTTGCTGTGTGCCCAATCATGGGTAGGTTAGGTAAAGGTATTTGATAAAATTATTAAACAAGAGTGATCGTTACAAGACAGCTGTGGTAGCACATGTGTGTAATTTCAGCACTCAGGAGGCTGAGACATGTGGATCACTGCAAGTAGGCCACCTGGACTACATAGCAGGACTATCTCAAAAAAATATTCCATATTAGGGATATATCATTCTATAAATTGTATAAATGGTGTTGGGGTGGGTCCTCTGGTCCCTGCAGCTGTTTGGCTGGGTCACAGGTGGGTTTGCTGTGTTGTGGCCATCTTCACGGTGCTCAGATACCGCGGTGAGGTATCGGGCCAGAGGAAATGTAGATGTGGTGAGGTGGCACAGGGTGGACAGCATGTGCAAGATGCAGAGCTAGTAGGGGCCAGGTGAGACAGGGCAGGAGACTGAGGAGGGTGTGACAGGGTTGCCCTTCAGCCAGGGGGGATGGGATCTGGGCTGCTTAGGATGCCATCCAGGAGCACATAGAATGCCTGGACAAATGTTTAGTGCTGTCAGGGTGGAACAAGAAGCCATGGCAGTACCTGCAGTCTGGGAGGCTTGAGACAGGAGAATTGGGAATTTGAGCCTGGTCCGGACAACCTAGCAACCTCAAAATTAAAGAAGAACTGGGATATAGAGTGAAGGCCCTGGGTTCAAACCCTGGCACTGCTAAAAACAAAAGAATTTCAGTGGCCATCAGAATAGTGCCTCGGTGGCACATGCTGCAGAAAGGCTGTGCTGGGGAGACACCAGCCAGGGGTTCTTGGTGCCTGGAGGGCCAGTACCCCCTCATCTCACCTGTCCCATTGTGACAGCCCCATCAGTGCTCATCACAGGGTCTGAGGACTATGACAGCTACTGTCTAGCAGGGGACAGGGGATAGCCACCTGATGTCCAGTAGGCAGCTGCTGGGGACAGAGCAGCACCCCTGGAAAAGACCCTCAGCCGTGTACACTGCGCCTTGCATCTCCAGCCTCGCTGTGGCCATGCTCAGGGGCCAGCCAGAGTGGGTGGCCGAAGCCAAGCTTTATGTCTCACTGCATGAGCAGTTAGGGGGGATCAGGAATACTCATTAGGGTTTGAATCCTGTTCACTGCTGATGGCTGTGTGTCTTTTGTTGAGATACTTTTTTGAGGCTCAGTTTGTAGAGTTAATGGCACATCGAGTGGTATTTCAGTCATTGGCCAGAAATAATTACGATTTCTATGATGAGTTCCTGCCACAGGCAGACACTTGGCAGGAGAAAACTGCTGTTATTACTGATGTTGTCATCATTGTGCTCTTTCATCCTTTACTGCCTCCTTCCCTTCTCTTTCTCAGGAGGTCTATGTGGCTTGCTCGTGGTTTCCTGTGTGTTTTTTGTTTTTACAGTTTTTTTGAGGCAGGGTCTCCCTGTGTAGTCCAGGCTGGCCTCAGCTTGCCAAGTGCTGGGATTCCAGCGCTTTCTGTTTCTGCAGGCAGAAGGAAGAGGGCAGGGCAGAGGAGGGAGGGAGTCCCTCTGGTTGGAGGCCCTGGGAGATTTTCCTTCTTTAACACAAATTCAAATGCAGACCCTCAACTCTGCTCTGCCCTGGCTGCCTTCCTTTCATCTTTTGCATTCTGCCTCAGGACCTTGGCATTTACCCCCCCTGACTTCATGCAGTGTGGACAAACCCTCTGATCTCAGGCTTGTGCGAGGTTCCTGGCCTTGAGGCCCGCTGCCTCAGCCTTGGTACTTGGGGTGGCCTGCTCTGTGTCCTGGGGACTTAGCCTGTAACAGTTCAAGGATATATTTCTGTATCAGCATTTGCTGTCCTCTTCTTTCTCTCCCTGTTTGCTGCCCTGCTGTCCTTGCCTGAGCCTCTGTCTTCTGCACAAGGGGAGGTGCAGTGGCCCCACCCCCACCGTCTGTGCTGCTGGCTCACCGCCAGCTGTGAGGCCCTGGGGAGGCCTCCAGACCTTGCCATTCCTCCCCTGGAGATTGGAGGGATCCCTCTGGCTTGAGAACAGCTGGTTTAAACAGCTGTGATGGAAACATAACCCAGCATGCCGCTTCAAGAGTGTGCCAGGTACACCCAGCTCTCTCTCTTTCTCTGATGCAGCTTGATGTCTGGGCAGCTATTTATTTCCTTTCCTCCCTTCAACTACAGGAATCAACTTTTGCATAATCCTCTCTCTTATTTGTGTACATTTCACTGTTCACCAGCTCATTCAAAGTATTTGTGAGCAGAGTCTGTGGCAGTTCTTGATCAGTATTTCCTGTCAGCATTCCCACCCTCTCCATAGCTGGCTGCAGGGCAGCGGGCTAGGTAATTCTCCAGGTAATTCTCTGGGTAATTTGCTCTCAGTGGGAAACTAACTTGTGATTAAGATCTGCTGTCACTGGAATCAGGCCAGCAAACTTGCTGCGCCCTCCCCACCTTGGCTGCTTGCGGGACACCTTTCTTTTTAGAAATCCAGGCATTTTGAGGCATGTTGTGTGGTGTGTGTGTACTGGTAGTTGTAGGGATCCCGTGCACCCTCAGCTTTGAAGCCAAATTCAGCAAATGCTTGTTTATTTTGGTGCTTTTATTGTTCAGCTTCACCAAAATCTGAACTGCCTAGATGTTCCAGAAACTTCCTGACTTTGACTTTCTCTTAGATTTTTTTCTTTTTTTGAGACAGGGTTTCCGTCTGTCTTTAAACTTGTACTCCTCCTGCCTCAGCCTCTAGAGTATTGAGTTATAGTCTTGTACCAGGCCAGGCTTAGATTTTTCTCTTGTTCTGGAACGTTAGGATGGTGGATTAATTAATGAGCATCTTGTAACGCCTAGCTGAACTCAATCAGCATGGTGCTGGGTGGGGAGGGCCCACTTGAGGAACAGCATAAAAGCAGAACTGGCAGGAAAGATGATGTGCTGTTGATTCTCCTGGAGAAGCTTGTTGCACTGGTTTTCCTGACATGAACTCAGCTGTTGTCATTATCAGAGAAGTTTGGGTCCTTACTCTCACTGAGGATGGCTGCGGTTCTGTTCGGGGAACCCTGGTCACTTCCTAGCTCCAGTGTAGAGCCCTCAGCTTACTGGCCCAGATCCTTTCCCCCACTGGCGCAGACTTTCCAGTTTCCACCATGATCTCTGGGCCTTCCTGGGGCAGATCCTTGACACAGAATTGCACGAGATGTTGCTGTGGGCTCACGTTCCCCAGGTAGACCCATGGGGGACATTGTCATGGGCACTAGGTCTTCAGATTGACTCATGAAGGACATTACCTTGGGATCCAGGCCCTCGGCTGGGTTCTTCATGTCTCCACTGTGTGGACGGATCTTCCACACTCTTTTGCATTTGACTGTTTTAATGAATATTATACAATAATTGTATAAATGGTGTGTCCTGTATTAAATCTTTTCCCTTGTAAGCCCTAACTACAACAGTTAGGTTATTTCTTTCTTGAATGGTGTTAGAGTTGGTGAGATTTTTCTAGGTTGGTCAGGTCTATCTTGGATCTAGTGGTACCAACTCCTCTTCTAGCTCTCTTCTTGTTTCCTTTTGAGGGGCTTGGGGAAGGGTACGAATTTCTTTTTAGTTTGTGTTGTCATTCAATCGATAATGTTTTGGCCTCTTTTAAGTCAACACTCCATTTCTCTCTTCATTTGCACCAGCCGTGTTTCAAGCACATTGTAGCCACACGTGATCAGGGGTGACTGTTGGACTGAGCATTTCCATCATGGCAGACAGTTGTTAGATTGTGAGGTGTGTACGCCACATTGCACATCACAGGCATACTAGTGCAGTGCTTTCTCCCTACTATCGTGATACTTGAGGCAATCCACTTTATGGCATTCAGGGACAATGGCTTAAAGGGTAGATCCTTGAAAATTGTAGGTGTTTAGGCATAATGTACACTGGCTTTGTTCTGTGCAGGGAACTTAGTGCCCCCTGGTCCTATGCTGTGCTTTGATGTCATTTGGCTTTTCTGTCTCTTGTAGGTGCTGAGAGATGGCGCTCACAGGTTTCATCTCCATCTGAGCATTGGGTGCTCCAGACACCGGAAGCCAGGTCTCATCCTGTGCTCCTGGCTTGAATAAGCCTTCACTCCACCCACTCCAGGCCAGCAGCAGCACAACACTGCCTGACTTCTCTTAATGATGGGTATTGGCAAGAACACCACTTCTAAGTCAATGGAGGCCGGGAGCTCCACGGAAGGCAAATACGAAGATGAAGCAAAACACCCTGCCTTCTTCACTCTGCCGGTAATAGCATGGCACTTTGCCATTCTTATGTCCCTTTCAGGGTTTTTGTATGGGCTTGTTGTGGGATGGGCTCTAACACTTTTGTTTCCAGTGGTGGGTACCGAGATTGCAGCTCTGAGCCGAGCTCCCCTGAGTACTGGGTTATCTGCGGGAAGGGAGCCCACATAGCTGGTGACTTGGTAAATCAGCCCAGTGTTCACTGTGCACTGGAAGACACTGAAGGCTTATAATTTTCTCTCCAAAAATATGCCTTTATGTAGTGAACTGCTCCAGCTTCTGCTCATGCTACCATCACAACACCAAGCACAGACACGGGTTCCAAACGTGCATGTGCTGTGTCTGTGCTTGGTGTTGTGATGGTAGCTTATGGGGTAGAGCAGGCATTTCTCAGGCAGCCGAGGAGGCTGATTGCACCCGTCCGTGACGTTCAGCACCAGTATTTCTCCCCAAATGTAGGATTATGCTTTATATCTATCAAATTATCAATGGAGTGTTGATTTAAAAAGGGAAAAAAAGTCTTTAGAGAGAGCATACTTCAAAGTGCTTTTCTCTTAGGATTGGAAATGTGACTAGTGGCAAGAATACCATTCTAGGGCTGCCTGAGTTGTGTTTCTGGAATTTGCCTCTTTAAGACAACGTAACTTAGTGAAAAAGACATGCACGTGGCATGTTTAAGTACTTTGGTTGATGATTTGCATTCACATTTTGACTTTTACCTTTAGCTCACAGAAGAGTTCTGATGTTACAGCTGGCATTAGTATTGTCTTTGCCTGTAAAGCAAAAGCTTTGAAGCTGGAGTTTGTGTCCTGTTTATGGCTTAGGTTGACGCATGTTTTCTAGGGGAGAAGCAGCGCAGTTTATTCATTAGTTGTTGTTAGGGTGAAGTAGACCAGCTTTGAAGAGCAAGCAGGAACTCCCTGTGTAGGGATTGATGTGTATAGAGAGCTCCTCCCAGTCTTCGTTGTAGTCCGGAAGTTTATATTTGTAATCCCATGGAAGAGTTATTGGCATTCTAATCAGTTAATTCCCAGTGCAATCCACATGAGAATCAAGACACTAAGACATATTTATAGTTATAGAGAACCAAAGGAGTCCTAAGTCCAGCCAAGATGGTGGTTCACTGGAACAAAGGCCTCTCCCCAGGGCCCGGCCTGGATTTTATTAATCTGTGAAGAGGGGAGCAACTTGAGGGTGAGTGACTGTGAGAAAGGCGAGAAGTGCATGAGTGCTGTGAGCTGAGCTAGAAGAGAGGCTGGAGTTCACCTCTGTGATGTGCAGAGAAGAGTATGTAGAAAGAGTAATCTGCATAACACAGCTGAGGTGACATCTGATGTCTTAAGGGTGGAGCTTCAGTCCAGATTCGGAAACTTTTCTGCCCTGGGAAGTGTTAGCCTCTTATCTCATGGCTCATTACAGTTGACAGAGTGAAGTGGAGCATGGCGTGGCCCTTCATCCTGCCCCAAGGGCCGAGAAAGGCAGCAGTGCCTCCCCGCCAGCTCTATTTACATTCTTTAAAGCCACTTGTTGGAATGAAGAAGTAACCTAGCCAGCTCTGTATGTATCAGTATGTGGAGAGAGGGCCAGGTTTAGCGAAGTGGGGATAATTGCTCCTCATTCAAGGAGAGTCGTCCACGTGAGTCACTCAGTACTGCCACCTCCCTTCAATTTGAAAGAGCTTGATTGTGTTTTAACTGCCCACTTGCCTTGCCATAGTTTTATTTTTATTTAACTCGTTTTGTCTTCTTTTTCTTTCCCTCTCTGTCTCTGTCTCTCTGTCGCCCTATAGTTCAGGCTGGCCTTGAGCTCACCGTGTAAGCCCAGGTGGCTGGCAGTCCTGCTTCAGCCTTTCCAGCTGGGATTACAGTTGTGTGCCACTGTGCCCAGCCAAGGTTTCCTTACTTTAGCAGTGAAGCTGTGATGTTTGCGGTTGGCACTGAATCCACTGGTGCATGTGCACATCAGCAGCTTCACTGTCCCTGTTGATTCGCATATCCTTCTCCTGCCAGTCTGTCCCCTGTTCTGTAAAATGCACTGTGGCTCTGCAAAAAGTCTTTGTGCTCTGAAAATTGTTGTGCTTTGCTCTGGTCTCTTTCTTTCGTTGCTTCCTTCTGGTTTGAGTAACCTTCCCCAGTGCTTCCTCAGGATTTCCAGTTCCTCTGCTTGCGTACAGCCCTGTCTTTCCATGGACCCCACCCCATCCCGCCTCCACTCTGGTACTGAGTTTAAACCTAGGACCTCCACACTGAGTTCCATCCTGTCATTTTTCTGTTTTTTTATTTTGAGGCAACATCTCACTTATGTATCCATTTCTCAGACTGAGCTAAAACTCCTGATGTTCCTCTCAGAGTAATGTGATTATATGTGTGCACCACCATACCAGCTTTTATTGAATTTTTATTGTTGTAATTGTACATTGTATTTCTATAATTTCTGTTTATTTTTATTTCTTAACTTCTCATACACATGTGTTTTTATTTTATTCTTTGTTGCATGTGTTTTTATTTTATTCTTTGTTGCATGTGTTTTTATTTTTGAGACAGGGTCTCACTATGTAGTTCAGGCTACCCTTGAACTTACTACGTAGCCCAAGCTGGCCTCAAACACACAGCGATCCTCCTGCCCCAATCTCCCAAGTGTTGAGATTACAGGTGTGCACTACCATACCCCCTGTTGCGTGTGTTTTTCATTTAAACCACAAAGACATTAACATCCTTATTTTAAAGTCTCTTCTGCAGTTCTTCTCTTTCCCTCTGCAGTGTTTGGAATTTTCTTGTTTCTCTGTGCACCTACAGGGTCACATTTTCCTGGCCTGGCCAGTCTAGAACCAGGTCTCAAAGGGAGACCTGGTTGTCACCACCTGAGATTTCAGCCCGGCAGGAATGGGGGAGGGAGGGACCTGCCTGGCTCCGGCCCCACCAGGGCAGGCCGAGTCTCTGGTGTTCCTGTCTCCTGCCAGAGAAAACAGTGTTGTATGGCTGTGGCCTCCCAAGGCCTTCTCTGTGAGGCTTCGAGAAGGCTCTAATTACTGCTTTCTATTTCTTGTATGAGGAAATGTTTGTCTTTTCAACCTGCTGAATTGTGAGTTTTTCCTCTTGTTATGTTTTCTAAAGATGGTGGCAGGATGAAACAGATTTTAAATAAATATGTAAATGTGTCAATTTTAGAGCTGATTCTATCAAGAGAAATAAATCTGGGAATTGAGGGGGAATAGCAAGGAATAAAATATGAGGCCAGGCGGGGATCATACAGTACCTGCAGGCCACTCGTTAATTTTTTTTAATGCATTAGAGTTTCATTGGTTCTAGGCTTTAGAAAATTCTGTGGCCATAAATAGGCAGACACAATTCCCTGTCTCCTACCTCACAGTACTTAGCTTCTATACAGATAAGTTACATGTGCAGACGATGTTAGATCTCAATAAGTACCAAGGAAAAGCCACAGAATGCGGTCACTTCAGCAGCATCTACACTGAAACAGGAAAAACTGGGAAGGTTAGAGGAGTTCAGGAAAAACTGCAATACAGGCTGATTTGATAAGGACAGGCCTAGAGGAAGCTGGGCATGACTCTGGGGAGTAGGTGCAAAGGCCCAGTGGCAGGCAGCAGGATGTATGGTATGGGATCCTGAAGGTGGAGTGGGGCCAACTGGAGAATTTGTAGGCCCCAGGGTCTGGTCAGGATTTTGGTTCTTCTAAGTTGTGGAAAAGAATTGGAAGGCTTTGATCAAAGCAGATAGGGACATACTCTACCTAGTTTTGAAAAGGTCCCTCTGGCTGCAGAGTGAGAAACGACCACAGGCCAGGCAGGGGCAGCCCTGCTGAGCGAGGGGTGTGGCTGGTGCCAGAGGAGAACTGGCTGCTAGGCCAGGTAGAAGCAGGGAGGAGGCAGGGCAACTTCCTACTGCTTCCTTGAGGGTCTAGAAGGCCAGCTGGCCCACATATATGGAGATAAGGGTTGATACCAGGGTGGGTATGGGGGTTGTCAAGAATGTGTGTTGATTCTGAGAATCAGTCGGGGTAGAACATAGAGTTAGAGACTGTGATGCTCAGAGCAGAAGGGGATGGGGCTTCTCCCTGGGAGAGAGCAGTGTGGTCCTGGTATTTAATTAGGCCAGGGTACTGGAGGGCGAGGTGCCACAGAGTAGATAGGTAAGGGGGGTGTGAGGTCAGAGGGACCCAGGAAGGCCGTGTCCTGGAAGCTGGGGGAGGAAGCCGGCTGCTGGAATGGCCTAGTTTGGGGAGCTGTGGGTGTTTACTGAAGCAGCAGTGGGGACCCGGGCCCTCGAGAGGCGGAGGAGAGAAGTGAGGGCAGTGGCAGGGCTCAGGGCCTTGACATGCATTAGGTTCCTTTCTGGTGCTACAGCTTACTTTAAATGTGTGTAGAGGTGTGTGATAGCTGTAAATGAAATGAGGGATGTGAGGTGCGGATTGGGATAGCAGTCTCTGTCACTCTGCTTTTTTCCCCTACTAATATGTTGTAGATACATTCTGCATGAATGAACCCATGTCAGTATACAGAGCGACTCATTCTTTTTTATAACTGCAGAGCAGTCTGTGGGATGGATATACTGTGACCTGACTTTGTTGCTGGATGTCCAGGTCGTTTCTAATTTGCTGTTACAAAGGGCCCTGGACTGAATAGTCCTTCACATTAGTAATTTCACTCAGATGTTGTCAAAGAATAAATCTCCCAGAGTGGGTTGTGGGCTCAAGGGGAGAGCCCTGGGAAGCGGAAGGGGAGGCTCCCACCTGTTTGGGGGCAGTGCCTATTTCCCGCAACTGTGGTCTCAGCCAGTGTGGCATCTCAGTCACTGTGGCAGGTGGGAAAAGTTTCTCTGCATGGTTTTAATTTGCATCTTACGATAGAGGTGGGACCTCTTTTTGAATGTTGAGGGGCTATTTATATTTCCCTGGTGGTTTTCCTGTTGGGATGTTGACTTCTTAGTGGTTTCTGTCACTTCTGCATTCTTTACATATTGGAGTCTGTAGTTTGCTGCCTGCAG